ATTACTACCCAGTCCACAGTGTGTGAGGTCAGGTCACAGAGGGCACACCTTTACACCAGGCTCTTCCCAAGATTCATGGATTACAGTTCCTCACAAGTCTCTTTTTAGAATTTCCAAACAGAACTAAGTTTTCAGCTGTGTTGACATTATTTTGAGCTAAGAAGGAAGGTAAGAAGGGAGCATAACCACAAATGTGCTTCTTTACACAATCCTGAAAGCAAAAGTAATTATGTCCCTGATAATGACACAAACTATGTCTCCCCATAGGATTTATTTCATTAATGTTCTGAACTACACTCTATTTTTAACATAAAACTATAAGTATGAATTCAGTATAGTAACTATATTTCAGTTAAAAATGGAAATATAGTTACTATATTTCTATTACAGTTATTAATACTATATTTATATTACAGTTCAAAACCACTAGGTATAACAGATCCAAGTTACATGAGGCTACAAAGAACAGATATATGGCTTACAGTGGGGAAAAAAAAGAAATCTGCTAGAATAAATAAAAATTAAATAGTCAGAAGCTATCTGAAAGTTAAATACTAAATTTGGTGTTAAATCTGAACTTACCCAAATGTTCACTTTATGAAATTTTTCCAGTGAGAGTCATTGACCATTTGTCATAAACGTGGCAGAATGCTGGCCAATTAGGAAGCATAAATATTCAATGTTCTATAATTATGGAGTCTACCATAAATATGCTTTTCAACGTTTTAACTGGTAATTAAAATGATGTGATACAGGTTTGCTTTAATAACTTCTTCATTAAAGCCTACAACACCACAGTTTTTATTGAAGTCCTTTGAATGAAATACCACTATGCTTCTTTTTCATCATTCTTCTGCTTTCTCCCTTACTCAGATTTAGGGCTTGGACTCAACCCTGTGTTCTTCTTACCTCAATGCAGGACTGCAGTTCTGCCCAAGATTTACACAGGCATGTAACTTTGCTTATACAATTAATCCTAAAATAGGAGCAGCATAGATGCCTCTACACAGCTTGACAGAAAAGTCAATGTAGGAAAATCAATGCAATCATAAGACTCTAAGCAATGAACTAACCATAAGTGTTTAGTGAAAGTTATAAGTAGCAACCTAAAAGACAGACTTAAAAACACACAGCTTGCCTCATGTCTTCCCCTTTTTTCTCTCCACCAAAGGTACATAAAGCAGGAGACTGAATATAAAAACACATGCATTAAACTCACTTCAATTAGAAGTCATTCATTAGGATTTGCTCACTCAAATAGGAACAGGTTCACTGAGTTATGCAGCATGCATTATCTGTCAGCACTTGACACTTGATCACAAGCTGCCTGTCTAGAACAGAGCAATGGCTAACCTTTAAATTACCCCTACAGACAAACACCACACTCTTGTAGTAGGGTATTCATAGTCTCAGAGTTTCTGTTGATGGCTGTCACTGAGCAACATCATCCTGATGAATCCTCCCTCCAAAAAGTTACAAAAGGCATTGTTAACATGCACACAGTCTGCACTTGGATAAATGAAACTCTAGGGACAGTCCAGCTCTTGAGTGCAGCAGGAGTGCTTGGGTGGAATGGGCAGGGTCTGCTTCAGGGCTGGCCCATCTGCTTCATAGTGAACATAATGTCAAAGGAGAAGCAGCATCTGCCTGCCTCCAAATCTGAACTCTGCTCATGGATACACTATTTCAGTCAGTGTGTTGTAGTTCAGCTACGTGTGCCCTATTTTAATATCTAACCCTAACCCTAAAATCACTTTTCAATCACAAAACAAAAAAGAACTTTAAAAATAATTACAAATGAACAGGAAATACATTTTTACAGTTACAAACCCCAATCCCATTAACACAAACACTTTTGCATGCAGAGTACAAATCCTATTGGAACGTGTAAGAAAAGTCATGTTTGATTACTTGTGTTTTCTTTGTACATATACAGGTTCTCAGAACAGGTACTTTAGCAAATAAAATGCATTTTTAAGAATGCTACATAATTAAGTTAAAGCACAGGGAAAGACAAACCAGATCAAGTAAGGTAGAAATCTCCCAACAGATCAATGGACTTGATCAGAGACCTTTCTTTGTTTGAAATCAGACATTTAATCAATGTTTTAAACATGCATAAAATAAACTTTTATTTCCTGTGAAAGGTGAAAACATTCTACGTTGTGTTTAAAGGCTGAAATGAGTGTGTCCTCTCACACACAGTAATGGTGCTTACCTTTCTCTCAGCTACTTCCTAAAGGCCCAGAAGCCAGCCAACACTGCCAGAGAAGTCCAGTAGTTTTACAGCACTTTTCAGAAGTTGACTTGAAGACACAGTTGTAAAGGTTTTGCTCTTCAGTGTGTGCTGTTTACAACCAATGCCTGGCAAAGGCCCAGATCAAAGTATCAGGTCATTGTCTAAGCAGTCAAAACAGAGAACACTAATTAATTAGTAATAAATATCCTGAATTATTAAAGATAAAACTTCTTTCCTCTTGCTTCAAAGCAATTTTTTCTTATGGTCAGAGTGTAATATTTCTAAATTGAGGGGGCCTTTACTAAGCATCTCCCAGTTGCTGAGAAACTGTTGCTATGGATACTGAATTGAGGTGGAAGCTGGCACAGTAATGCAGAAGGTACAATGTCCTGTAACAAATGATGCAGTCACACAAAGAGGAAAAATAGTAACTCCTAGTAGTAAGGGCCTAGAATGAGAACTGTTCAGACCAACCAGAAGGCTTACACACTCTTCAGTACCCAAAAGAAAGCTTACACACTCTGCAGTACACCCAAGTGCTAAGCTTTATGCAGAATATATGACACCTGGTAGACACATATGTTTATCTTCAAGCCCTTTTTCATAAATTTTTGAAGAGTTACTCTAACACTCAGGTAGGAGGATTCCTCAGTGCTATCAATATCCTGCATACTCAGTAACCTGTAAGAAAATGGGTACCAGAAATTACTTATTACTTACAGAAAATCCAAACTTAGTGATGAGTCAACCACTGTTACAACTGTGACCAACTTTGAACATGTTACCACATTTCAGCTTTCCTATCATTCTTATTCTTTCTTTCCCACCTAAGCAAAATCAAGGAAAAGAAACTTTTCCATTTCATTATGCTTCCATGAGGAAAAAAATGAATTTCCCTGCAGACCACTAAGCAAATCTCATTAGAATAATTTAGGATACAAGAGACACCCAAGACATTTGTTTTGCCTTTCTCCTCCCAACCTCTGAGAAGAAATTCTTTGCCTGTGGTGTTCAGGTAGTGACTCAGAAGTCTGGTAAGCCTGCTTCTATATTGCAGAAACAGCTCATGTCCTTCTCTTTAACAGCTGTGCAGTGCTGGTGCTTGAACTGCAGCCTGTTTGAACTGCTGACTCCCCAGGCAGAATAAAAGAATTCAAAAAGACTGCCAAATCATATTCCATATAGAAAAAAAAACTCCAATGTAAATACATATCAGAGAAGCTAATGTTTTCTCTCCTGTCTTGGAGAAGGAGCTATGGAACAAACCAGGCAGTTGCTCTCCTGAGATATCTGCCTCCAGATGCTCCTCAGAGACTCAGCCCATTTTCCATGCATACACTACTAGACACTAATTCCCTGGAGACCACTTCACTATTAAATGACTGGCTCCTAACCACTTTCTTCAAGACATTTTACAACACCTGCCTCTACTACTCCCACCTGAACTCTTCCAGTGAAGGTACAGGTAACAATATCTCAGTTCCTGTAAGTGTTGCCTCTCCCCTATCCATTACACATAAGAAACTACACTCTCCCAGCTCCCCTGTGACACCTCAGCTTTCTGGTCTCCTCTTTCAAAGGCCAATGAGACACCCTCCTCATGCTGTCAAAACGGGCTGAGAAATAACAAATAAACTCCTCTTGGTTTCCTCAGGTAAGAAGGACTCTATCCCTGTTCACAGCCTGAACCTCCACTTGAAGAGGAAAAATCAATTTATTCCAACTATATATATCTGATTCAAAAGAATGGGAAACTCTTTGTTTTGCTTTGAACACTCACATCTGAAAAAATTAGCAAGTACAATAATATTTCACTTAACACAGTCTCCATCTTTTAAGACACCACAAACGTGCAAGTGGAAGTTGTTCCTCAATAACCCTGTTTAGACAAGGACTTAATTGCATATTTGACTTAAAACATATGAGTAGTCCCTATGAAACTCATTAATTTTTTTAATTAAGACAAAAATCATTGTGTTGTTACAGAGGTGTATATACCAATGCTCCACACGTGGTCAGGATACCTTGGACAAACACTTGTTATTTATGATCCTTCTTGAAGGATTTTATATCCATTTTAAGTGAAAGGAACAGAAAATAAGAATCCATCACTTAAATGCTCACTTGAAACTTGATCTCATCTTTTATGTTGAGAAAAACCCACCTTGACTCTTACTAGTGATTTTATCAGCTTCATATGCCCAGAACTGGACACAGTCCTCCAGGTGAGGTCTCACCAGGGCAGAGCAGAGGGGGAGCAGGATCTCCCTTGTTCTGCTGCACACTTTTCTTAATCCACCTCAGGATCCCACTGGCCTTCCTGGCCACAAGGGCACACTGCTGTCCCATGGACAACTTGCTCTCCACCAGGACTCCAAGGTCCCTCTCCACAGAGCTGACTGTCTCCCTATATTTCTCCCAAGGGACAAGTCCTTTCTTACAT